TTCCATTTGGGGGATACTATGAATAAATCTGCTTTGAACAGTATTATACAAGTATTATGCAGATATAGAACTTCTTATCTCTTAACTAATTTCCTAGGAGTAGAATTGCTGGGCCACTGGGTGAGTCTATATTTAATTTTATAAGTCACCATCAAACACTTTTTGAATGCTTATACTACTTTACATGCATGTTTTATACTTTCACTTGTAAGGCCCTGGGATCAGTTTCCTCAGAATCCTCACAAGCAGTAAGTGTTGTCACATTCTTTTGTTGTTTTAAATTGCAGCCTTCCCACTGGGTCCCTCAAAGTATCTCACTGGATATTGATTTGCATTTTTCAAATAACTAAAGTCGTAGGACACAACTTGTGTTTATTAGCCATTTGCATATTTTCTTTTGTGAACAGTCTATTCCAAGTTTTTGCACTTCTTAGGGCTACTTTAAATGACTGAATTTTAAGAGTGCTTTATTTTTCTTTTAAAGCAATGTGCATTTTAAGTAATAAATATTTTCTCTTGATATTTTCTGAAATATAACTTGATAATACATTTTTTTAACTGTACAACCATGAATCTATTTGTCTGTCTTGATGTCAGTGTCATACCGTTTTGATTAATGTAAGCTTATAATATATTCAAATCATGCAGTGTTAGTCCTCTAACTCTTCTTTTTAAAAGCTGTTTTAGTTATTTCAAACATTTTAAGTTTTAAAATCTAACTGCACATATAGATCAAATTGAGGAGAAAGGACATCTTAACAATATGAGTCTTAAAATCCATGAACACAGTTTAGTCTTCTGTTTACTCAGACTTTTATTTCTTTCATTAGTGTTGTATTGCTTTCAACATATAGATTCTATGCATATTTTGTTAGACTTACAACTCAGTACTTAATTTTTTGTCGTTAGTGTAAATGTTTTTGTATTTCTAATGCTCTAAAGATTTGTTTTTAAATTTCCATTTCCAAATTGTTGCTTGCTAGTATTTAGAAATAAAAATGGTTATCAAATATTGACCTTATATACTGCAGCCTTGCTAAACTCACTTATTCTGGTAACATTTTTATAGATTCCTTTAATTTTCTGTATAAATAATGTTCTCTGTGAATATAGTATTATTTTTTCTTTTCAATCTAGACATCTTTTATTTTATTTTATGTATGCCTATTGCATAAAGGTAATCCAAGCACTATTATTCCATCTGTACTGAAAGAAGAGGTATTAGCACATATTATAAATATTACTTTTATTTTAAAATTATCAGTGTCACAAAGATACTTGGAAAGTCATAAGTATCAGACAATAAAGAAATGAAGATTACCGCCAGGCTTGGTGGCGCGCCTTTGGGAGGCTGAGGTGAGTGGATTGCCTGAGCCCGCAGGTTCAAGACCCGCCTGGGCAGCGAGACCTCATCTCTACAATAAATCAAAAAATCAGCCGGGCGTGGTAGCACATGCCTGTAATTCCGGCTACTTGGGAGGCTGAGGCGGAAGGATCGCCGGAGCCCAGCAGGTTGAGGCTGCGGTGGCCGGGAGCGGCCACTGCACTCCAGTCTGGGCGACAGAGTGAGACTCCAACTCAAAAAAATAAAAAATAAAAAATAAAAATAAAAGAAATGAAGATTACCAAACTGCTGAATATTCATCATTCTTAACCTGCCTTAAAACTTTACACCTAAGATCTAAGATAACTGCATTATATTTTTACTACACTCAATGCTCTCATTATATCATCACATAAGCAGTAAAATGAAGAACAAATACTACACTGAATTTCAGTAAATATCTGTCGAATAGATAAATTATAACAATGAAATCTCACAATATGAATGAAGATAATTGTGCATTAATTTGACATAAAACTACCAGTTATAAGAGAAAAAAAAATAGTGGAAGAAAATGCCTTCAAATCTATCCCATGGCAGAGGACCTTAAAATGCACAACAAAGAGTTTTAGCACTGAAAGTCTTTTCCAAACCTTGTAGACTGTCTTTTCTATTCCGGAGATGAGAAAACGGAGACAGAGAAAAGATATCTACAAATGATAGCAGTATAGGGAAATGGTAAGAACAGACAGAGCCTAGGCCTTCTGATTTCTAGTTCTCTTTGCTACACAAATTATCCATGATATTTCTTTTTAATTTCTCCAAGTGTTCTAGAAACTGCTATAAACAAATTTTTGCATGAAAGGAGAAAACAACTCTACTAAATTTCACTAAGTTTCAGTTACGAAAATCATGGGGCGTCTAATTGTTAAATAATGTAAAATGTAAGAAAGACCAACAAAATGTTCTTAAACAATTTTACTTCAATTTTTCACTAATTTTATTTTCTTAACCCTAAATAATTGTTTCAAATGTATTCCACAAGTTCTTTAGAAGTAAAAAAAATACTTGAAACTCAACAATATTTTGCATCTAAACTGATTAAAATTTGCAATTGTGTGAACAAGTTAGTTATGTAAATATTCATTTACTCAAAGCTAAGATTGAAGGTCAACTTGGTATTCATTCACTCAATAGACTCGGCCTATCTGTAAAAGACTAGGCTAAGATCTGTGAGAGAAATAACAAGACACGAAACCGGTAAAAACTACTGCAGCATGCAGTTATAAACTAAAGCTACTTGAAAGAAAGAAACATGTAACATACTTTTCTATTTCTCAAATACAGTTCTAGGTCCACAGAGATTTAAGTTTCATTGAACTGAAGCTTCTCTTTTTGAGGCCACTGATTTCTGAATGGTATTGAAGAAGCAAACTACTAATACTTTAAACTAAAATTACATTCTTCATCATTAACTCTATTTCGCTGTTCAATTCAAATACTGCTAGAAAACCCATTCAGATAATAAAAAAGAGAAAGCGCCAGAGAGAAATAAGAATAAAGGGAGAGAAAGTGGGAGATAAGGAACAAGAAAACAGGCTTAATTGAAATACTTCAAATGGTGACAAAAGAAGATGGACAAAGAAAAAAGAAATTTCAACAACACTAAGAGAACTAACTACGCTGTAGGGCAGGAATGGGCAAACTTCTGTAAAAGGTCAGAGTAAATATTAGGGGCTTTAAGGCCCATATGGTGTCTTATTAACTACTCAACTATGGGATTGTAGCTGACAGAGGTCACAGACAATAAGTAACTGAGGCATTTGTGACACTGCCTGAGTGCTGTCTCTGACCACAAGCACATGGTTGGCTGGTGAGTTCAGAGAATTAGCAATTCCCAGGATAAGCCCTGAAACCAATAACAAGGGAGGGTTGATGGATAAATACTACATCTTCCTTGCTCTTTATGTAGAATAACTTTGAAGTTATTTGATCCTGTTTCCCAAAAGTCCCCACAAGATTGAGATTGCCAAAAGAAGTAACCTGCTCTTGAATGCACCTGGTACTGTGTTCTACCTCTTAACAATCATTTCCCACTTTCTTCTACAGGAGATGCTTGGAATTGCCTTCCAAATGAACTACATTCAGCCAAGTGTAATGACTCATACCTGCAATCCCAGCATTTTGGCGGAGGATTTAGGCTGAGGCGGGAGAATTGCTTGAACCCAGGAGTTCGAGACCAGCCTGAGTAACATAGTGAGACCCTGTATCTATTTAAAATAATAATAGTAATAATATTTAAGAAATTAGAAATATCAAAATAAGGCTGGGCACAGTAGCTCACACTTGTAATCCTAGCACTTGGGAAGGCTGAGGCAAGAGGATTGTTTGAACCCAGGAGTTTGAGACCAAACTGGGCAACATAGTAAGATCTCATCTCTACAAAAAAGAAAAGAATTAGCTGGGCATGGTGGTATGTGCCTGTAGTCCTAGCTACTTGGGAGGCTGAGGCAGAAGGATTGCCTGAACCCAGAAGATTAAGGCTGTGGTGAGCTGTGATCGTGCCACTGCACACCGGCTTAGGCAACAGAGTCAAACTCTCTCTCAAAAAATAAAAATTAAAGGTAAACTGCACTCAATTCATTTTCTGCTTGAAATGGATCTCAATCTTAGATGGATCTCTCAATCTTCAAATTTGGAGGGGGTCCTGATATTTTGCCCTGAGGCATGTGAACAGTATTTCAGCCATTAGACCACCGTTGTTTTCTCCAAAGACAGTATTACAAGTATTATATGTTCTGTTTCACTTTTACTACTTAGCAAGAGAACTGGGGCAGCCATCATTTTGTCTTTTGCTCTAGACATAGCAACACATCTGGGTGATGGCTTCAGATACCATTTAAAGTGATTCTAGTTGTCTTACTTATTATAACTAATACCTCTGAACCCACCATGCTGTGAATACAATTTAGATTTGTTTTCATAGAAATGCATGGCTTTGTACTTATCCACACGGAAATGCATCAGCCACTTCTGGGCAATAGAAATAGTATCAACCAGTTATTTTAGAATTTTTAATCCAAACAAAGGAATAAGTATAGAAAAATAACCTTCCCATGAAAATTTTTCATTCTCTTCCTTCCAAGCACAAGAACCTATTATTTTTAAGTCCATAGAACTGAGCCAAAATCGTTACAACAGAGGTGAACCATGGATATATCAAACTCTTGACTGAAACCTGCTGTTTTATCTGCATTTACTTGCTTGGAAAACCATATCACCCTTCAGCTCAGGATAAAACCTTTAGAGACAGCACTAACTCCCCCAATCTCTTAACTCCCACTTCCAATTCGTCTTATCCGTCCAAACTATTGCTCCTGTTCCAGTTTGTCTCTCCTATGACAGTGACCTCCTATCTCAGTTCCTTGTTTTATTTCACAGCTTTATTCTGGGAAGCTACCTGATAACCTAACACTCCTCCAACAAACCTAAGATAGTTCAAAACTATGATAGTTCAAGTCCTGAACATCACATACAGCATGCATATAAAACATATGAGCGTTTACACTACATTTAGGCAACTCGCTGTTGACTAAACATTTCATGTGTTTGTATTTCTGTTTGGAATGAAGATTAAAAATAGTATGTTTACCTAAAGATTAAACAAAATGTTTACCTGTCTGAAGCTACGTCACTGGCAATTTGGTGCTTCACGCCTGACCCATTTTTAATAGAATCCTGTCTTGTGAGCCCATGAGATCGACTTTTCTCCACTGCAGGTACAGATAAGTCACCTGAGGGTCCTTGGAACTGGGCCTGCTCATGTAGTTTTGCTTTCTTCTCCTGAGGTGCCTCCTCATTTCTCAGTCCTCGAAGAGCCTTTTGATCAGGTTGCTGTGGTGTGTTAGATCCACTATTATAAAACCACGCTCCTGATTTAGTGAGGATTTCTTGCTGTTTTCGGCACAGATTACAGACCCACATAACCTGCATACAAAGACATAGGGGGAAAAAAATTAGTGTTCCCAAAGTTAAAAGCAAACAAAAAAAGACACAAAAATTCAAACAAACAAACAATTATATGGCAATCCTTCTGAAGTAAAAATGTAATCCAAATTAACTGCTATCATAAATTAAATAATCTATCCTTTTTTTTAATTTTTTTCAGGATGATTATAATAAAATAGACATTTATTGACAGTAGAAATACCCAACTAGAGTGCCAAATTACTGGTTGTTCATTTATATTCTTTAATTATTTTCATTTAAATTAAAGGCATGGTCTAATATACAGAAAATAAACTTTGAAGCTAGACGGTTGGGTTTAAATACCAATCCGAAATTAGAAACGCTGCAACTTGCAACAAGGCACTGAACCCTTCTTATCTATAAAACTTAGTTTTTGTGTTGATAAATAGAGAAATGAAAATGATAATACTTATTTTCCAGCATTGTTTTGAGAACTGAAGGCTAAAAATAACATATAAATTGTGTAACACACTACCTGGTATATATTAGTTGCAGTAAATTAGTGTTAATGTTAGGTTAATCTTCTTTTTATCAATTTTATTATATGCTTCTTTTATTTATTTATTTATTTTTTTGAGTTGGAGTCTCACTCTGTCACCCAGACTGGAGTGCAGTGGCTGCTCCTGGCCACTGCAGCCTCGACCTGCTAGGCTCTGGAGAGCCTTTCACCTCAGTTTTCCAAGTAGCTGGAACAACAGGCACACGCTGCCATGCCCGGCTAATTTTTTGATTTATTGTAGAGATGAGGTCTCGCCAAGTTGCCCAGGCGGGTCTCGAACCTGTGGGCTCGGGCAATCCACTCACCTCGGCCTCCCAAAGCGCTGGGATTACAGGCTTAGCCACCGAGCCCAGTCTATTATATGCTTCTTTTTTTTTTTTTTTTTTTTTGAGTTGGAGTCTCACTTTGTCGCCCAGACGAGTGCAGTGGCCGCTCCGGCCACCGCAGCCTCGACCTGCTGGGCTCCGGCGATCCTTCCACCTCAGCCTTCCAAGTAGCCGGAATTACAGGCGCACGCTACCACGCCTGGCTAATTTTTTGATTTATTGTAGAAATGAGGTCTCGCCTGCCCAGGCAGGTTTCGAACCCGCGGGCTCAGGCAATCCACTCATCTCAGCCTCCCAAAGGCGCAGGATTACAGGCTGAGCCACGTAGCGTGGCTTTATATGCTTCTTGAGATAGCTTTTATTCATTTCAAGTAGCTCCTAATGGCTATAAGAAAACCAGCAACTTTGTTGATCCTCAGTAAAAACCTACTAAATTAGCCGGGCGTGGTAGCGCACGCCTGTAGTTCCAGCTACTTGGAAGGCTGAGGCGGAAGGATCGCCGGAGCCCAGTAGGTCGAGGCTGCAGTGACCGGGAGCAGCCACTGCACTACAGTCTGGGCAACAGAGTGAGACTCCAACTCAAAAAAAAAAAAAAACACCTACTAATTGCTAATATTTTGTAGTAAGACACTTTATTTTTTTAAGATGGTGAAAAAATATATAACATAAAATTTACTATCTTAACTGTTTTAACACTTCATTGATGGTAAGTATATTCACTTTGTTATGAAACATACCTCCAAAACTTTTCTTGCAAAACTGAAACTCTATATCCATTGTACAGCAACACCTCTTTCCCCCCACTCTAACCCTTGTTAACAACTATTCTGCACTTGATTTTTTAATAGATATATTTTTCAGACTCCAGAAATCTAAGTATATTGTAATTATTATCTGTGTGACTAGAAAACCCCTCCCCCCTTCTAAAAAATATATTTCAATTCATCAGAAAAAAATAAAATCACATTATCATAAAATGTGAGTTCATATTTCAACTGTTTGCTGATATTATGCTAAGATTATGTTTCATTAATTTCCAAAATAATTCGTCTAATACTAATATAAACACAGCTCTCTAGGTTATGTTTATCTTACATTCAGATAAATTACAACAGTATAGACAATCACAATAAAAGATTCAACATGGTGTTCTGACTAATGCAAAAATATTTTTGTAAAACGTCATTTAATTTTTTTGCTTAATTGTCCATTATTCCACTTCATATTGTTTGTACAGGTCTTATTGTACACAACATTGTACTTGATCCTTTCTTATTATTTTGTTCTCTCCTGTAATTGTGTATAAATTTCTTTTTTCCCAACTAAATTTGAAGGCAGGGACTGTAGGTTCTATTAGCACAATATGACTTTATAAATCACAGAATAGTAAGATCTCCTAAATTTTAACCAACTTGAATTTGTTTAAATTCTTCTGGAAGAAATATGATAAAATATTTGTTAATATTATGCCAAGATTTATGTTTCATTCATTTCCAAAATAACTAGTCATGAATAACATCAATATATGTGCCTATTTTTATAAGTTACCAAGAAAGTATTTTCAAAAGGAAAACACCAATATCTCACTCAAACCAAAAAAAAAACAAAAAAACCCCTCTGGGCACGGTGGCTCAAGCCTGTAATCCCAGCACTTTGGGAGACCCAGGTCAGGGGATTGCCTGAGCCTGTCAGTTCTTGACCAGCCCAGGCAACATGGCGAGATCGACCAATAAACCAAAAAATTAGCCAGGCGTGGTAGCGCGTGCCTGTTGTTCTGGCTATTTGGAAGGCTGAGGCGGAAGGATCGCCTGAGTCCAGCAGGTCGACATTGGGGTGGCCTTAATTGTGCCACTGCACTCCAGTCTGGGCGACAGAGTGAGACTCCAATTCAAAAACAAAACAAACAAACAAAAAACCTTCGCAGTTAAAGTTTCTTTCCCTATAATTGATCTGAATAGACATGAATTATAGCTAACCCACCAATAGTCTCAAAACTCAAATTTCAACCAAAATGGTCAGCCTTTTGATGCCATCTTGTGACAAATGTAAGTATTGCAGAGTTGTCTAAAAACTGAAAGGCACACTGTAGAACCACAAAGTATTTGTAGAAATAAATGAAATTTGAATTTCAACATTTCAGTTTTAAATAAATTACTATTCATGCTTCAGTGATAATTTATGCTAGATGATCCCAAAATATGAATTTATCTGGAATAAATCACACACAGAGTACTAAAGAATAGCATCGTTTAGTACCTGGTAATTAACAATGAAATAGAAATAAAGAGTTTGTAGACAGACAATTATCCAATCACTATCATATACAGAAACAGGGCTTTGCTGCTTTGTTATTTGTTGTAAGGTAAGCAGGTTACTTAACCTCTTTTGGGTCTCAACAGAATATCCCTGGGATGGCAGCATCAATATTACCTGGATGCTTACTAGAAATGCAAATTCTCAGGTCCCACCCCAGACCTACTGAACCAGAAACTCTGGGGTGGGGCCCAGCAATTGTAAGTTTTTCCCCAAATTGTCCAGGACATTCTGATATTTGCTAAAGTTTGAAAACCCTTGGTCTTGGGCAGAGATTCCCAGTTCAACATGTTAAATGGATTACAGCTGTGCTCCTCAGACTGGTTCAAGAAGACCAAAGGAGTTCATGAGCAGTCTTGTCAGCTTGTCTTAGTGTGAACTTGCATTGCTTCTGTGTAACCCAAACTGAGAAAAAGGAGTGGAAGCATTATGAGTTCCATTTTCCTCATCTGTTAATACCCAGTGAATATTAACAGAAGATAAATGAACATCAGGTTTAAAGGATGATGTCTGATTCCTATTAAAGACGCTCCATGTGTTAAGGTTAATACTTCTCACACTCCCTGGGCTATCCACATTAGTTGCCCTTTTTCTGATTAGATCATTTGTTCCCTCCTAAACAACTAGCTCCTAGTATCTTCATATTCATATTCTAACACCCAAATTACCTTTCTTTTCTAATTTTACCATCTCTTCCTACTCTTGAATTAATAGTCCATTAATCTTTAAAGCTCAGGAATCTTAAATCTACTCATATCAAGTACTGTCATGTGCTACATAAAAACAGTTCAGTCAACAACAGACTGCATACATAAGGGTGGTCTCCTAAGATTATAATACCATATTTTTACTGTATCTTCTACGTGCTTAGATACATGAACACCACTGTGTTACAACAGCCTACAGTATTCAATACACTAACATGCTGTACAGGTTTGTAGCCTAGGCGTGAAACTGTCTCTATAAACTTTATAAGAAGGGACAGGGAGAAATGAAAATAAACCAAAGCCTCCAGCACATTCAGCATTAATCATTAGGTCAGCTTGCTCTCTGATCTGCATCCTCATAGCTGCTTGTTGTCTACTGTCTCAGAATCACATAAACCCTGTCACAAGATTATGTTTTCCCTTAACTGCTCTATAGATAACTTAGGCATTGTGAAACATTAAGTTTTCCATTTGAGACATTCCATCAGGTCCTATATAGCAGTGAAACTACTGATACCAGCTGGTCTGAAGGACCCCACTGATGCCAGCTGGCCTAAAGGACGCCACAAGGAACTGACTGGCCAAACAATGCAGTTTCCACATCCTACTGATTTTATCCTCCTTATCCCACCAATCAACAACCCCAGTTTTCCAGCCCCTCACTCTCCACAATGCCCCCCAAAAGCCCAGCCCAAAATTCCACAGGGAGATAGATTTTTAGGGTCTCTCCCATTTCCTTGCTCAGCAGCTCTGTAATCATTAAAATCTTTCTCTGCTACAAACCCTGCTGTCTCAGTGTACTGGTCTGTTACTGCACAGTGGTCATACAAACTTTTTGGTTCTGTAACAGAAGGAATAGACCACATCATATAGCCTACATGTGTAGTAAGCTATACCATCTGGATTTGTTTGAATACACTCCATGATGTTCATATGACAAAATCATTGAAAGACACATTTCTCAAAATGTATCTCCGTCTTGAAGTGATACAATCAGTGGTACAGAAGAATTGGCACTTTCACTTGCAGTCCTTTACGCACATAACAACTTAACTTATAAACTAACAGTACTGAACTGCCTCTCACAAACATATATACATATATATGCTG